CTTGGTGGGGGGTGTCTCCAGCAGCCCTCCCTCCTGATGGGACTGTCCGCTGGTGTGAAGTTTGAATACCTGTGTGTCTCTTGTTACTAAATGTAGATTGCCCCGCCCTGTATCATTATGCAGGGAGGAGGGATTGTCCCCTGAGTGTATATATCTTGTATCTGTGTTATTATTATTATACAGTATTTATAAAGCGCCGATAGTTCGCTCAGCGCTGTACATTACAGAGGGGGACAGAACATGTGACAGAACAATACCAATACAATGCAAAACATGAGGGAATCGAGGGCCCTGCTCTTTCGAGCTTACAATCTAGGAAGTGTTCAAATAAACTGGTCCTGGTTTACTTCAAGACTGGTGTCGTCTAGTCTGGTATGGTCGGTTGTGGTGTCTGTTGTCGGCAGGGGCGGACTGACCATTTGGAAACTCGGGCACTGCTCGAGGGCCCGGGGTCAGTAGGGGGCCCCATGAGATGCCCCTGGCACCTTTTTCATAGGCTTTTTTGAGTTTGGGTAAGGACACAGGGGCCCCATGATCCCTTATTGCCCGGGGGCCCCATGAGTTGTCAGTCCGCCCCTGGTACTGCGTAAATTGATGGTGCTATATAAGTACCTGAAATACATAATAATAACCGTATAGATATTATATGTGAAAAAGGTTTTTTTTTTGCTTGCTTTTTTTGCGTTTTGCCAGTTGTCAGTCCGCCCCTGGTTGTCGGTGCGGGGAAGCGGTATTCTAACGGAAATACTCAAGCGCAGTCTGGGTCGCGTCCATTACACCACGCCTTTAAATATGCAGGTACCACTCACTATGCTCACTTTATGGGTTGTCCCTTACCTAGCAGCCCTGATCCTTGGAATAATGCCTTTTTCAGCTCCTGTGTATCTCAAATAAGGGTGATTTTGTGATCCCAGAACGTGGCCCGGGATACCGCACTGGAGGCACAGAGGGCCAAGATGCAGGACTGTCTTGGCAAATTCAGTTGGCATCTATTTTTAAAGCATATGGAAATTCTAATTTTTTTTTGTTACTGGCAGGGAAAGGCGTCCATATCTGGAGTCTAACTAAGGACACTTGTTGTTGGTGAACTGACATGAACCCTCTTCCACGGCTGCTTCTTCGGTACGCAGTATGGCTGCCTCTAATGCAGCCGGCAAGAACACTTTAAGGTCAGACGTGGCACAGCACGAGAAGGTTATCAGAAAATTACAGGGGAAGTGAATTGTGTCGCTCTCGCCGTACGAATGATATAGGCACGCCGTCTGCGGGATATCAGATGCCCTTGCAATAAACTTCAAGGCTGCGTGAAAAATACCAGTTCAATCATATCATAATTAAGAGTAAATACAAGTGAAGGAGATGAATATGGCAGTACGTTTTCTTAATTATCCTAATGCTTTCTTAATGCCTGGCTTGTCAGAAGGTAACGGCGACGGCGGACGGCGGAATGGGCCCACGAATTTAACCCATTCACCAGAACTTCAGACTGAATGCCATGATTGTCATTTTTTTTTTTATGATCACTCTAAAAATACCCATAAAGATGTTTGGGAACTGATAAAATTGATGACTACCCGTATAGAAGAAAAATATATTTGAAATATATTCTTACCAAATATATTGACATAAATTTGAAATACTACAATTTATTTATTTCAGGTACTTCTATAGCGCCGTCAATTTCCGCAGAGCTTTACACATATGAAATGCGTTTTTATTACAAAATATATGAAAAATATTTATATATATTGTACATTCACATCAGTCCCTAACCCTCAAGGGGCGTACAATCCAGGGGCGGACTGACCATTTGGAAACTCGGGCACTGCCCGAGGGCCCAGGGTCAGTAGGGGGCCTCATGAGATGCCTCTGGTACCTTTTTCATAGGCTTTTTTGAGTTTGGGCAAGGACACAGGGGCCCCATGATCCCCTATTGCCCAGGGGCCCCATGAGTTGTCAGTCCACCCCTGTTTTTGAGGTATGGAGACATGTATGAGGGTCTCTGGCAGTGCTATGTACTGTATACTGTCACCAGTCAGTGTCCCTAATCACTGCCACAGCAGTTATAGAGTCACCGTAAGGACTTGATCACATGTGCAATGCTTTCTGAAAAGCCATCTATGTTTGGATCACTGTTCAGAGAACATTTGACAGGCAGTGAGAAGGCGTTGTATCTCCTCCACACCATCTCCTTTGACCCCAAGCAGTTCCATTTCCAGAAAGCCTGAAGGTGCTCCTTGTATTTTGGGCCCCTCCATGTGGCTAGGCGGTACAAACGTCTCCATGATCCCCTATTGCCCAGGGGCCCCATGAGTTGTCAGTCCGCCCCTGGTACAATCTAAGGTCCTTAACTCACATTCATATACTAGGGCCAATTTAGACAGAATACAATTAACCTACCAGCATGTTTTGTAGAGTCTGGGAGGAAACCCACACAGTCACAGGGAGAACATGCAAACTCCAGGCAGGTGGTGCTGTGGTTGGAATTTGAACCAGCAACCCGAGTACTGCCAGGTGGAAGTGCTAACCATTTAGCCACTGTGCTGTTGATCTTTCATGGGAAAAAAATAGCAAATTAAAAAAAAAAATAATAATAATCTAGTATATACAATTGCAACACAAGTCATATTGTAATTGGACGTTATTAAAAATCAAGTTTTCCTTCTCAATCTGTAATTTTCTGTAAATTGCAATAGGGTGACCTGTTACACAGTTGGTGTAACGCCCCAAAAATTTATTTTCCTGATTGTGTGATTAGCTCACAAATCTTCCCAGAAGTCTGCACCAAGATACGAGCCAGATTTTGGGCATCACCTGCAACATATATGTCATTTTAGGTGGGATACTCCCAAAGGAAAATCATGTCTAAAGGGATGCAGACCCTGCTGTATTCAATATATTTCAAAATATATTTCAATAAATATATACATATATGCATATATATATATACTGTATGTTGAAATGCATTTTTATTACAAAATATATGAAAAATATTTTTAAAAATACATTTCAAATATACTGTTTGTCTTTAAAAATACAAATCTACATTTTTTGGAATGCATTCACAAATATATGTAAAAATATATGTTAAAATTACTTTTTTTTATATGTTACAAAAAATCTGAAGAATATATTTAAAAGAATATATATTTTTTAATATATAAAAAACGCATTTCACACGTATATATATATATATAAATATATTTTGAAATATATTGAATATGGCCAAAATTGTAGTATTTCACATATATGTCAATATATTTGGGAAGAATATGGAGAATATGAAGAATTTGGGAAGAATATTTTTTAAATATATTTCATATATATTTTTCTTCCATGTGGGTATACAGATTTGATATAGAAAAATAATAAATAAAATATGCCTGAAGTATGGAAACGTATTAAGATAGATATCTTTTCTCAACCTTTTTACTCCAGAGGAAATCCTAAATTAATTTTCAGATCTTGAGGAACCCTTACTACAATCAATTCACTGGGGATCAGTGGGGAAAATGCCCCCTTACATTGGTGGTCAGTATGTAGGCAGATGCAGTCTGCTTTCTGCACTGTAGGTGGTGTATGACTGGAGTGGTACTGCAGCTGGAGAAGAAGTCAAGAGAAACCTGGTTTTTTTTTTTCTTTCCTGGTCCCACGAGGCAGAGCTCTGGTGACTACGCTGCATTCCGGTGACCCTGATGGCCATCTTGGTTCAGCAGAGCCTTTTTAACTGCCTGCCCCCAGGATTTTTGTGCGCATTTGTGAATGGAGAGTGTAGGGACAGAGTACCTGTCTGGAAGGAAAAGTGATTAGCAGCAGGGATTAGTTTTAGATGAGTAGGGCAAGACCAGGGACACGCCAACCCCCCAACAATCCTTTCCATTGGGCTCAGACTGGCCAGGCTGCATTCTGCCCTTTGAAGACTGATGCTTTCGGTGCATGTGAACCTGCTCCATTCTACAAGTTGAACAGAACTGTTAGTGTTTCCCAGCAGGGAAGTGTCAGGGTTCTACTGGGGTTCAGGTCTGAAGAAGGAGCCTATTGAGCATGCTCGGAAATGCATTACCGCCCCCCTTCACCTCCTACATCTGACTCTGCTCTCCAAGCTTCATTTTGATGCACAGGCACATCCTGGACTCTACTTCCTGATCCTATAGACATAGTTTGCTGCTGGATGGCTGGATGTCCCCCCTAGATCCAATTACCACACCATGAGTCTTTTTAACTATTTATCTTGTAATTGCAATTTATCCTTTGTTTACTAAATAAATTGTCAATACCGCACTTACAGACGCCTTCCTCTCTTTTTTCCCAGCAAAGAGCCTTCCCACTGGGCTGTTTGTATATTTGGGCCATTGCTTCATTACAAGTCTTGTTATTGGCAACCAGACTCAGTGTGTTTACTGCCTCCGCACCACCCTGCACCTACCCACACAAAGAAAGAAGGCAAAACTTACAATGCCACCATTACGGACATCTAAAAAAGATAAATTGGTGTCATGTTGCTGGCTTTGCTAAGTGCTACGGGCCCTGGGACTATGATGGCATCATCAAATGGAAAGACAATCAACCACGTCTCAGAGAATCCCCAGCCACCTCTGGAGGAACCCTAGTGGAGAATGGCTGAGATAGATGAAGATATTTGATCATAAAACCAAGAGTTTACCAAAATAGGCTTGATGAGCAGTGACACTGATCAATGGATGAATGCCCGAGGGTCTTCAGCACAACAGACAATATGGCCCCCACCATGTATGTGGTGCATGTTAAGTGCTGCATGCACAAAGGTGCGTACATGCTCAGTACTGGTGTCGCCACGGGGGGTCACAGAGGACAAGAGTGCCACCTTGCCCTCTGTGATGACGTTAAGGTGAATAACTCAACACCGAGTTCACTATATGGACCACTTACCATATTTTTCGCTCCATAAGACGCACCTGACCATAAAACGCACCTAGGTTTTAGAGGAGAAAAAACAAGAAAAAAAATATTCTGCACCAATGGACTGCAGACACAGTACAGGAAATGACCAGAGACTGCGGACATAGTACAGGAGATGCCCAGAGCCTGCGGACACAGTACAGGAGATGACCAGTGACTGCGGACATAGTACAGGAGATGACCAGAGACTGTGGACATAGTACAGGAGATGACTAGAGACTGCGGACAAAGTACAGGAGATGACCAGAGACTGCAGACATAGTACAGGAGATGACCAGAGACTGCGGACACAGTGCAGGGGATGACCAGAGACTGTGGACATAGTACAGGTGATGACCAGAGACTGCGGACATAGTACAGACTGGGATGACCAGATGGGACAGCGGACACAGTACAGGAGATGACCAGAGACTGCAGACACAGTACAGGAGATGACCAGAGACTGCGGACATACTACCGGAAATGATCAGAGACTGCGGACACAGTACAGGAGATGACCAGAGACTGCGGACACAGTACAGGAGATGACCAGAGACTGCAGACAGGGAGCATCGGACCAGGAGACATAGTACAGGAGATGACCAGAGACTGACTGCGGACATAGTACAGGGGATGACCAGAGACTGCGGACACAGTACAGGAGATGACCAGAGACTGCGGACGGTACAGGGGATGATCAAGAGACTGCAGACAGTACAGGATATGACCAGAGACTGCTGACCTTTAGGGAGGGAGGAGGAGCGGGTACCTGAATTTGACAGTTACCCATTCCCACTTCTGCGGAGTTGTCCTCCCTTTACTGTGGGCACCCGGCTGTCATGTGTCCCAGAAGACGCCGGACCATTCACAAAGCGCAGCGCTTCTCGCGCATGTGCAGTGCGCAACCGGCTGTCACAGATGCTGGCGTGGGAAGAAGCCGGCGCGGGAAGACTGCGCAGCGCTGGAGCGAGGAACAGGTAAGGTCCTGCAGCAGAGAACAGCTGAGCGGCTGGCCCGGTATTCTGACATGGTGGGGGGCGGAAATACCGGACCGGCCGCTTTATATTCGCTCCATAAGACGCACCTTTCCCCCCTTTTTTTGAGGGGAAAAATAGTGCGTCTTATGGAGCGAAAAATACGGTATGTATTTATACATGGAGATCACATCCATGGTGCGTACATGCTCTGCATTGGTGTCACAACTGGGAGGTCACAGAGGGCAAGAGTGCCCCCTTGCCCTCTGTGTTGACCTTAAAGTGAATAACTCAACACCGAGTTCACTATATGAACCACTGATGTATTTATACATGGAGATCATATCCCCCCTTATGTATTATACATGGAGATCATATCCCCCCCTTATGTATTATACATGGAGATCATATCCCCCCTTATGTATTATACATGGAGATCATATCCCCCCTTATGTATTATACATGGAGATCATATCCCCCCTTATGTATTATACATGGAGATCATATCCCCCTTATGTATTATACATGGAGATCATATCCCCCCTTATGTATTATACATGGAGATCATATCCCCTCTTATGTATTATACATGGAGATCATATCCCCCCCTTATGTGTATTATCACATGGAGATCATATCCCCCCTTATGTATTATACATGGAGATCATATCCCCCCTTATGTATTATACATGGAGATCATATCCCCCTTATGTATTATACATGGAGATCATATCGCCCCCCCCTTATGTATTTATACATGGAGATCATATCCCCCCTTATGTATTACACATGGAGATCATATCCCCCCCTTATGTATTATACATGGAGATCATATCCCCCTTATGTATTATACATGGAGATCATATCCCCCTTATGTATTATACATGGAGATCATATCCCCCCTTATGTATTATACATGGAGATCATATCCCCCCTTATGTATTATACATGGAGATCATATCCCCCCCTTATGTATTGTACATGGAGATCATATCCCCCCTTATGTATTATACATGGAGATCATATCCCCCCTTATGTATTATACATGGAGATCATATCCCCCCCTTATGTATTATACATGGAGATCATATCCCCCCTTATGTATTATACATGGAGATCATATCCCCCCCTATGTATTATACATGGAGATCATATCCCCCCCCTTATGTATTATACATGGAGATCATATCCCCCCCTTATGTATTACACATGGAGATCATATCCCCCCCTTATGTATTACACATGGAGATCATATCCCCCCTTATGTATTATACATGTAGATCATATCCCCCCTTATGTATTATACATGGAGATCATATCCCCCCTTATGTATTATACATGGAGATCATATCCCCCTTATGTATTATACATGGAGATCATATCCCCCCTTATGTATTATACATGGAGATCACATCCCCCCTTATGTATTATACATGTAGATCATATCCCCCCTTATGTATTATACATGGAGATCATATCCCCCCCCTTATGTATTATACTTGGAGATCATATCCCCCCTTATGTATTATACATGTAGATCATATCCCCCCTTATGTATTATACATGGAGATCATATCCCCCCTTATGTATTACACATGGAGATCATATCCCCCCTAATGTATTATACATGGAGATCATATCCCCCCTTATGTATTATACATGGAGATCATATCCCCCTTATGTATTATACATGGAGATCATATCCCCCCTTATGTATTATACATGGAGATCATATCCCCCCTTATGTATTTATACATGGAGATCATATCCATGGTGCGTACATGCTCAGCACTGGTGTTGGTGCCAAACAGCCTGTACCAACTGAAGTGTAATATGGGCATATTGTTTAGCAAATTTCAACTAGTTTGTGTAACCTGCAACCAGACCAAGTGCTTGCACCTTCCTGTGTGTGACCTGACTAGACTTCTGACCTGTCTCTAGATCCTGACCTCCCATTGTGACTTCTGACCTGTCTCTAGATCCTGACCTCCCATTGTGACTTCTGACCTGTCTCTAGATCCTGACCTCCCATTGTGACTTCTGACCTGTCTCTCTCTAGATCCTGACCTCCCATTGTGACTTCTGACCTGTCTCTAGACCCTGACCTCCCATTGTGGCCTTTGTGGTCTGTGTTTAGCCTTCTGTTTTCTGCTTTCTGATTTGATATTGTTGACCTAGACATTTCCATGCCTTCTAATATGGTGCCCTTCTGTCTGGCTGTTACCAACCTTCAGCTTGTGTGTGGGTTATGTTTCTGCCTTCTGCTCAGGAGCTGCTGTGTTCCCACATCTAGTCTCGACCCAACACATTTAACAACATGTACTACCCATAATATTGGCTCTTGTGCCACTCTGCGTCCTTCAATTCCTTGTCAACACTTCCAGGTCCAAGGGAGAAGGTCCAAGAGAAACTCGGTTTCCACCAGGTACAGGACAGGTGACCATTAATCTCTCCAGAACCCCTGACCCTCATTGTCTCAGGATGAGAGGCCATAACCTGCAGTCAAAGAGATGCAAGCGAGTACACGTTACCAAAAAAAAAAAAAAGTTTTTGCCAATGTACTTTCAGCTTCCGACTTGCAAACGTTTGCCCTGGGGCAATTCAGGAGGTCATAGGTTGCAGTTCTGAAGCTCTACTTAGCGAATCCTGTTTCCAAATGTCCTGTCAGCCCAATTGAACAGTGACAAGACAGATTGGGAAAGCGATGCATTCTGCTTAGGTGTGTAGAGAGAGAAGTTAATTGATCAATTAGCTGATAATTACAGGAATCCCCAGGCGCCAGTTTAGCACTTCAGCAATGAACTGATCTTCCCTACGTGTGTGAATTCTCAACACATGGGACTTCAGAAAATGATGGCGCACATTCAGCTACTATGACTGCATGTTAGGAGGAGGAGATTGCTAATAAAAAAAATCTTCACTTTACAGAAAAATCTGTAATCTATTTGATTCCATTAATAGGGTCTAATTTCTCCTTAAAGACTTGACTGAATTTAATTTAATTTTAAATGTATCATAAAAAATATAATTAATACAACATTTATTTGACTTTTTATTGTCCTTGAAGATATCAAATCTAAAGCCAAACCTTTTTGTTTTTTTTTGTGAATGGAGTGTAGACATTATAAAATCTCTGTTCTGGCGCCAACTCTTTAATTGTGGCTTTCCCCTCATATTGAAGAGATTAGTTCTCACTTCTTGTAACTCCAGGATAGGAAGTGGATATCTAGGCAAAAGCATGAAGGAAAACCTGAGAGGGATTTTTTAATTACTCCCTACTCTATGCAAATCTAAAATCGTTTTGACTTTAGATACATATTATGCCAAGTTCACACAATTGTTTGGTCAGTCCATGTTGTATAATGTAGTACAATTAGTTAAATAGGTGAAAAAAGACAAAAATCCATCCAGTTCAACCAAAAGAAGGAAAAACTTACACACACAAATAGAAAACCTCCATATAAGCAATCCTATACTCACAGTTGATCCAGAGGAAGGCAAAAAACCCAAATAAAGCACAATCCAATTTGCTCCTGCAAGGGAAAAATTCCTTCCTGATCCCCCGAGAGGCAATCGGATATTCCCTGGATCAACTTTACCTATAAATGTTATATCCAGTTATATTCTGTGTATCCCAAGAAAGAATCCAGGACTTTCCTACAGCAATCCACTGAGCTGGCCACAACCAACTCTGGAGGGAGTCTATTCCACATTCTCACAGCTCTTAACTGTGAAGAAACCTTTCCGTGTTTGGAGATTACATTTCTTTTCCTCCAGACGTAAAGAGCGCCCCCTTGTCCTCTGTGATGACCTCAGAGGGATAACTACACCGAGTTCACTATATGAACCACTGATGTATTTATACATGGAGATCATATCCCCCTTATGTATTATACATGGAGATCATATCCCCCCTTATGTATTATACATGGTGATCATATATCCCCCCCTTATGTATTATACATGGAGATCATATCCCCCCCTTATGTATTATACATGGTGATCATATCCCCCCCTTATGTATTATACATGGAGATCATATCCCCCCTTATGTATTATACATGGAGATCATACCCCCCCTTATGTATTGTACATGGAAATCATATCCCCCTTATTTATTAAACCTGGAGATCATATCCCCCCTTATGTATTATACATGGAGATCATATCCCCTTCCTTATGTATTATACATGGAGATCATACCCCCCTTATGTATTATACATGGAGATCATATCCCCCCTTATGTATTATACATGGAGATCATATCCCCCCTTATGTATTATACATGGAGATCATATCCCCCCTTATGTATTATACATGGAGATCATATCCCCCCTTATGTATTAAACATGGAGATCATATCCCCCCCTTATGTATTATACATGGAGATCATATCCCCCCCTTATGTATTATACATGGAGATAATATCCCCCCCCCTTATGTATTGTACATGGAGATCATATCCCCCCCTTATGTATTATACATAGAGATCATATCACCCTTATGTATTATACATGGAGATCATATTATTATTATTATACAGTATTTATAAAGCGCCAATAGTTCGCTCAGCGCTGTACATTACAAATATCCCCCTCTTAAGTATTATACATGGAGATCATATCCCCCCCCCCCTTATGTATTATACATGGAGATCATATCCCCCCTTATGTATTATACGTGGAGATCATATACCCCTTATGTATTATACATGGAGATCATATCCCCCCCTTATGTATTAAACATGGAGATCATATCCCCCCTTATGTATTATACATGGAGATCATATCCCCCT